AGAGAGTGTATCTGGGTGTGTGAGTTGTTTGTGTCTGAGGGTCCAATTCCGAGCTCCTCGCAACGTCTGGGGGCAAAGTTCCAAGAACCTTACCCCTCAGCCCAGGTTCCCGGAGATATTTGGGTCCTTAATTCCCCTTTTGCTTCCTGTGAGCGCTTCTTCTTACGGTTCTAGGCAGCAGGGTGTTTGAGGCTTGTTTATTTTGACAGGGAGCTCGGTTAAAGGGATTCGGGAGTGCAGAACTTTGCTCCCAGTTAGTGTGTGGTTCTCAGTTACAGCCCAGTTCACCCTGCTAAGATCCTGCCCAGGTTCCCGGAGATATTTGGGTCCTTAATTCCCCTTTTGCTTCCTGTGAGCGCTTCTTCTTACGGTTCTAGGCAGCAGAGTGTTTGAGGTTTGTTTATTTTGACAGGGAGCTCGGATAAAGCGATTGGGGAGTGCAGAACTTTGCTCCCAGTTAGTGTGTGGTTCTCAGTTACAGCCCAGTTCACCCTGCTAAGATCCTGCGAAGATTGGCAGTCTCTTGAATGTAGGAGCAGTTGTAAACTACAGCCTCAGTTTCTGGAGGTGAAATACGGCTTGTTTTAAGTTTATATTTATTTTATTTAAGTCTTAAAGGGTTTGCATATAATAACTTTTGCCGAATGCCTGTGTCGGTACCATAAAAAGAGAGTTGAGTGGGGCAGCAACGTTTAAATTCACCCTAATACGGAAATGGTGACATAATTATAAAAGTAGCAGAATTGATCGGTGAGGCAGATGGTTTCTGTCTGAACTGCAGTCTTTCCGTTCCACCAGCCCCTTCGGAGGCATCAGCGTCCTTCTCTGGCCCCTGTTGGTGATGTCTCCCAGGGGATTTACTTCCCATGCTCCTTGTGTGCAGCGGTTCCTTGTCCCTGGTAAATGGTGGTGGGAGGTCTGAGAGCGCCGACTCCTTCAACAGGGTATCACTTTGGCAGTTCTTTAGCTGGGTACTGGCATGGTGAGGTGTCATCTGCTGACCCCGGTGGTGTCCCTCTGGAGCTGGGGGTCCCAGATGGTCAGCAGACAGAAGATGTCAAGTCAGTCTCTCTC